GCCGCATCGAGCCCGCGTCGGGCAGAAGAAAAGACACCAACTTGGGGGACAGGCGAGGTCACCCGAAGATGCAACGTAAGGAACCAGGGTGGAAGAAACGAGGGGAAGGTGGAGGATGCGAGCAGGAAGATACGACACTGTGCGGAACAGCCGCGCGGGTGCACCAGGGGCGAAGGAGGAAGAGAAAGAGGAGAAGGAGGAGAAGGAGGACGAGGAGGAGGAGGAGGAGGAAACATCGGGGAGGGAGGGAGGGCTGGATGGAGGGGCAGACAGCACGAAGACGGACGAGGGAGACGGATGATGAGAAGGAACAGGAGGGAGCGATGATTAACGCTTCAACTGATGCTGCTGCTCCTGCTCCTGCCCTGCTCCTGCTCCTGCTCCTCCTGCTCTGCTCCTGCCCTCCTCCTCCTCCTCCTCCGCTCCTCCTCCTCCTCTTCCTCCTCCTGCTCCTGCTCCTCCTCCTCTTCTTGTTGTTTTTCCCCTACGTGCGCTTGATGCTGACCCTCCTCCTCCTCCTCCTCCTCCTCCTCCTGCTCCTGCTCCTGCTCCTTGCCCTTCCCTCCTCCAGCCCCACCTCCTCCGCCTCATTTTCAGTCCTTCTGCTCCTCTTCTGGCCTTTCCCTTCCCTCTCCTCCTCCTCCTCCTCCTCCTCCTCCTCCTCCTCCTCCTCCTCCGCCTCCGCCTCCTCCTCCTCCTCCTCCTCCTCCTCCTCCTCCTCCTCCTCGCCTTCCTCTCGGCACGGGAGGGCCTGCAAGAGCCATGCCGTCCGCGGTGGAGGCGGGGGCTGCAAGGCCTCTTCGGGTCCTCACTCGGGCATCCGGCGGCCGATCAGGACGACCAGGAGCACACCCGGAACACATTGCTGACGAGGCGCAGCTGCCGAAGCGCAGCCCGAGCCGAGCAGGCCTGCGAGAGCCCACCAGAGCTCGCCTCCGAGGATCGAGGACTTGGGCGTTGCTTGAAGGGGGAGGAATGAGGAGGAGGAGGAGGAGGAGGAGGAGGAGGAGGAGGAGGAGGAGGAGGAGGAGGAGGAGAAGCGGGAGGAGGAGGAGGAGGAGGAGGATCGATCGATCGAGCTATCGGGCCGATGTCGTGGTGACTGCTGCTCTAGCTACGCTGAGTACCAGTGGAAAACTAGCTCGGCCTAGCTGGGTTCACTGTCTGCCTGGGGGAGCAGGCGCTAGAAGGCGCTCGGGCCCTACCCGCACCGTATACCCCACGCGGGGGCCTCTGGGCGGGGCGGCACCCGCCCTCACGGGTGCCCTCTCGCCAGTTGCGGCCGTGCCTATTGCGGTTGCTTGCCTCGTCGTTGCGAAGAGGAGGAGCAAGACGAGGAGCCGAAAGACAGGGAGCTACAGCTACTATCTGACCCTCTGTCGTTAGTGCTGCAGTGACCGCGCCATTCTCGTCTAACTCGAAAACGCGGATTGCCTTCCAGTTCTCTACCAACTGGCCGACTAGTTCTACGATAGTCTGCTGCAGCCAGGTCTGAGTAGCCGCATGTCCAGTCTTCAATTTGTCGGTGACCAGGTCATAGACTAGATCCGCCACGCGCCCGAGAGTCACGTCCTTCTCATCCTTGTCTCCCAGCTCGTCCGTGGTGGAGTCGATGTCGTTCTGGCCCTGCTTCTTGCGATCGTCGTTCTCCCCGAGACTGATCATCTCGCCCCCTGACTTTGACGTGTGGTAGTGCTTCGGTGCCTCGATCTCGGTGCGATGAGGTTCCTCGGGCACGTCCTGCTTGAGGCGTCTGCAAAACTGTTCGTAGATCTTCGTGTAGTCGTCCCCCTTCGCGGCGATCTCCGCGAACATCTCCAGGCAGTGCTTCACGGACGCGTAGTGGAAGGCGTACTCCTCGTTGGTTACGTCCTTCGCCTTGTGCATCCACCACAGCGGCTTGTTCGCGATGAGCTGCTTCCGCTCGTGCAATGCCTCCTTCATCTTTCGTTCGTTCTCCTTGTGGCTGTGCTGGTCGTCGCCGTCCACATCCGTTTCGTAGATCGTCTCGTCGGCGTCCACGTCCGTGACGGGCTTCTCGTCCGCCATGCGCGAAAAAACTGTGGGCGGTTCGGTACCTGAGATCTCGTCCCCCGCCTTGCGCATCCACAGCGGCTTGTTCGCGGTGAGCTGCTCCCACTCGTGCAAAGCTTCCTTCATATTCTTCTCGTGGTTGTTCTGGTCGTCGCCGTCCATGTCCGTCTCGTAGATCATCTCGTCTGCGTCCTCGTTCGTGAAAGGCTTCTCGCTCATGTGGTCTTCCCAGTCGTTGGACAGGGACTTGTAGTAGGGGGCGTACTCCTCGTAGGTTACGTCCTCCGTCACGTGGCGCATCTCCATGAACTGGCAGGCCGTGCGCGCTATGTGTAGGCGTAGTCGTCTGTCAGCGCGCCGCCGCGCCTGGGAGCCTCCTTGCAGGGGGTGCCTCAGCCCAGGCGGGGCGGGCACTCGTGACGCGGCGAAAGAAGGCATCCATGTCATTGCTGCCGTGCGGGCCTTCCGCCCAGGTTACTATCTCCTCATGCTGAGTAATAGCTGTGTGTTCGCGCTTGCTGCCCTGACAATCTCGTAAGCCCAGATGGCAGCTGGAGGAGGAGGAGGAGAAGGAGGAGGAGGAGGAGGAGGAGGAGGAGGAGGAGGAGGAGGAGCGGGTGCTTCCCTGGCCGTCCTCTCCAAGGGCGCCGGCCAAGGGAGCCGCGCGCGACGCGGCGGGCCACTGGCCGCCCAGCACCGAGGCGGGTGCGGCCAGGAACGGCTGCTCGGCGTGCCGTGGAGACGGCTCCGGCGGCACGCAGTGCTCTGCACGCGCAGAGCGTGCCGCTGAGATTCGCGGGACGGGCGGTTGGGGAAAGATCACTATATCGGGGATGGACAGAACCCCCTTTAGTAAAACGTGGTTTAGTGAAAACGACCTGAGGCCCAAACCTGGCGGGCGCAAGCCTGGAAAATAACGGCCACGGCGCCCTCTCGAAAACCGAAAACGGACAATTCACTAATCGACGTGTCACTGTTGGGGGTTCTGTCCACCCCCGACTATAGCCGCCCAGCGCCGAGGCAACTGACCAGGAGCTCTTGCTTCGCGTGTCGCGGCGGCGGCCCCGGCGACACGCTGTGCCCTGCACGCGGATAGCGTGCCGCTGAGGTTCGCTGGAAGCTCTTGCTTAGCGCGTCGCGGCGGCGGCCCCAGCGACACCGCTGTGCCCCATGCGCGAAAAATCGTGTCGCTCCGATTCGTGGGACGGGGGAGGCAAGGAAAAGCTCGGTAGGTTGACGCTTGGGGACCGGGACGTGGTGGCCAGGAACCCCCGCCTGAGCTTATCCCCGCCAGTGATCCTCGTCGTCTGGTTTTCGGGTCGTGTGCCTCGGGTCTCCGGCGGCCCTTCGGGGCGACCCAGGCACCCCAGGAACGCCCTCGGAGAGGCGCAACCACCGCAGGCACCCCGAGGCTGGAAGACCGACGAGAACCGACGAAAACAGCCGACGGCGCCCGAAAGCCTCGAAGCTCGAGCAGCCCCTGTTCCTGACCGCAAGCTATGTCGGGGGCGGCCACGAGGGAGGCCCAAGAGGGGGGGGGGGGGGCAAATCATGGCTGGTGGCACGTGCGCGGCCCAGGGGGGGCCGGGGAACGTATTGAAACAAGAAGGCGCGCCATGAGATCTAGGAAGATGTCATGGCCACCGCCACGATATCCAGGAGGAGGAGGAGGAGGAGGAGGAGGAGGAGGAGGACCTCCCCCTAGGCCGCCCCCGACAGTTGGTGCCGATTGGCGCGGCGGGAGGCGCGCGACGGGGCAGGCCCAGGCGAAAGAGGGGGCAAAACTCGCCGGGCTTAGGTCGGGCGTGTCCCCCTTGCAGGGGGATTCCGGGCGAAACATCAAGAGTAGCCCAAACGTGCCCCCGATTGGTCCACAAATACTCCAACAACCGTCCCCAGGCTATGTTTTCTGCTATTTCTGACTCTTCCTCCTGCAGAGGGACAGGCCCGACCTTAACGCTGGGCTGGCGCCGCCGGCGACCCTGCTCGGGGAACGGGAGGCTAGACCGCCCGCAGCCGCCCGCAGCCGCCCGCCGCGAGCGGGGCCGGCGCGTCGCGGGGCCGCGGAGCCAGAGGTGCAGAGGGAGAGGGGCGCGCAAGCATATGGTTCTCTCGACTCTGGCTGTGGCCAAGGACGCAGGGATCGCGGGTCTCCCTGTGCAGCCCACGAGGAGGAGCAGCAGGGAGGAGGAGCGGAGGAGGAGGAGGAGGAGGAAGTGGACGAGGAGGAGGAGGAGGAGGAGGAGGAGGAGGAAGTGGACGAGGAGGAGGAGGAGGAGGAGGAGGAGGAGGATCGACATTTTTCATGTGATTTTGCATTTGGAGCGCGGTCGCCAGATCCATGGGTCGGGCAGGTGCCCTCCCTCAAAGGCGGCCGGTGCCGCCTCGCTCGGCGGCGGAGATCCGCGATTCCCCATGGACCATGGAAACGGGACCCGTCGCTACCCCACGCCCCCTTAATCCATGTTTGCGATCGCCTGAAAAGGGAGAGAGGCTACGGTCGAGGGACAAAAACGAAACCACACACACACACACACCCCTCCCCCCGCAGTTCAAAACCGACACGTTTGCGCATCACTGGTCTGACACTCAAGCTCGTGAGATCCGAACCCAACATCGCATTCGGGGGCAGGTGTGTGTGTGTGTGGGGTCCAACCCATATGTCGCACGTATGCTGCTGAATTGTTTCCGACACTTGCAGGTCGCGTAACTTCGTGCATCGCGCCCGGCGATGCGAGACCCGCGATGATCTTCGCGCCCTCGAGGCCGAGCGCCCTCGCGCCGCCGCTCTCTGGAGAGAAGTGCAGCCGCTCTGACACAGACCGCGACGCGTGAAGCGCGATAGCCTTCGCGCCCCCTGGGGGCGACCTAGGAAATAGAGAGAGAGAGAGAATGAGAATGAGAATGAGAATGAGAATGAGGGGGAGAGAGAGAGAGAGAGAGAGAGAGAGCGAGAGAGAGAGAGAGAAAGAGAGAAAGAGCGACTGCCAAATTTCAGTGCCGCGAAACTAATACTTGGCGACGGTGCCGCCTCAAACTGCCTTTGATGCGAAACATTGAAACTGGTTACGTTTGGAGGACGGTGCCTTTGCTGGACCACCAAGGGCTCTCGGTGCGATATCGAGATTTGGCAAGAGACTGGCATAAGAATCGCTCGCCAGCTGAGACCTATTGATTGCATTGGTTAATTTGGCGGTGAAGTCGTAAGCAACTGCCCCACATATCACACTAAACGAAAAATAAGGAAGCATGAGAAATGGCAGTACCGGGACAGTGGGTGGGAGAGGAATGGGTTAGAGAGAGGAGAGCCACCGCCAAGGCAGATGGACAAGAAGGCAGCAGCTGCAGCGGCATGACATAGAGCTACGGACAGGACGAGAGAAAGAGGCAAAGAGAAGTACTGTAATGGCAGGCGTGCTGGCCTATCAGGGCAGAGAGCGTCCAGGGAGCAGAGCAATAGGAGCGTGGCGCGGATTGACAGGCACCCTCCGAGTTTGAGCAACTGATGACAGCCAGCCGTCATTGGGCCCCTGGCGCAAGAGATGCTGGACAACTTGAAACACACGGCCGTGCTGTGCAGACAGGGCGTGACAGCGAGCTGGCAAGAACGACTGCTGCCCAGCGAGCTCAAGACACCCTCTCGACCGCGACTTATGCCCTGACCTCCGCGGTCCAGCGAGAGCAGGGCGCAACGAAGAGAGTCCGAGGCGTCGACCAGATCTGGCTTCTGCAACTCGCAGAACAACAACAAACGGCATGAACACAAACTTTTGGCGCTCCGCGCGGACTTCTTGGATCTGAGCTGGACACCCCTCCCTGGCGCGCGGAGCGCGCCGCCAGGGGGCCCAGCGCGGATCCAAGAAATCCGCGCGGAGCGCCAACAGTTTACAGTGGAGGCCAGTCCGGAAGAAACCTTCCACGAGAAACCCAATCCTGAGACCCCAGGACGGCCATTGGTTTTTGGCGTGGGAACGCCACGCCTTCCATGGCAAAACCATCGACACCCACGAAACCCAGGGCACCCTGGAGGCAAGCAAGGTGTTTCTTGGCATGGGCCTCCACTGCATCTCCGCAGAGGGCGCCTCCAGAAGCCAACACCCTTATCCCAACCCTAACGCCCTGACCCCAACACCCTGGCCCTGACACCCTACCCCAAACACCCTCAGCCTGACTCCCTAACCCTAACCGCCTAAGCCGAACCCCGGAACCCGAACTTGCACCGCCCTAGCCCGAACAGCCTACTGCTGACATCCTACCCCTACCTGGCCCTGACACCCCGCTCCGAACCCTGCCGCCATAGCCCGAACCCTGCCGCCCTGACCCGAGCCGTGCCGCCCTCACCCTGACACCCTGACACTGGCAGGCCGACCCGAATCCTGCTGCCCTGAGCCCTGATCCCTGAACCATGAGCCCTGACACCCTGACCTTGCCACCCCACCTCTACCTACATAGCCTTAGGTCGGGCACGTCCTCCTACAGGCGGGCTTGCGAAGGAAAATGTAAAATAGTTTTGAACCAACAAATCCAACAGAGTGAAAAAAACATAAATCGTCACCAGACTATTTTGTTTACTATTCTTGAATATTCCTCCTGTAGAGAGGCATGCCCGACTTAAGCCTAGCCCTATCACCCCACTCCGAACCCTCGCTGGCGCAAAGGGGGGGAGGGGGTCCGAAATCCCCCCCCTCCCCCCCCATCCCTCTCCGACGCAAGGGGGGGGGAGGGGGCGCCCGACCCCCCCGCTTCCCCTTTCACAGCAGGAAGGGGGGGGGGATCCGAAAGCTATCATCCCCTCCTGGAAGGGGGGTGAGGGTCGTGCGAGCACCCCCCCCCCCCGTTTTTCTGGACTAGAGGGGCATCCACTGGCGCTCTTAGGGAGCCGAGCTCCCGAACGAAGTGAACCCCACCCTCCCCCTCAGAAATCGTGGGGGGTAGGGGTAGGGTTCGCATCTGGCTCCCTAGCTCTTCTCGTCTCGGAGACCACCCGGGACGCCCCCCCGACAGGAGCGACCTTCAGGAGGCAGGGGTGGCCCCACGCCGCGACGCACCCCGAGCCAGAGGCAAGAGAATGCAGGAGGCAGGCAAGGCATAATCGATGCTCAACATAATGTAGGACCAGGCGAGGGGGACGGGTGGCAGAAACCGATGAGGCTCCAGATTAGGGGGCCACAGGCGAACCCTACCCCTACCCCCCACGACTTCTGAGGGGGAGGGTGGGGTTCACTTCGTTCGGAAGCTCCCGAGCGAAGTGAACCCCACCCTACCCCTCAGAAATCGTGGGGGGTAGGAGTAGGGTTCGCATGTGGCCCCCTACAGATGCCCGGCTGCGACATGCAGAAATCAGGAGTTGCGCGTGGGTGTGCAGCTCAGTGGGTCTTCTGCCGCCCAGCAGCGGGCCTGCAGACGCGGCACTCTGTCGCGGCTGACAGTGGGACCCGCGAAATTAACACCACCGTGTTGTATTAGGTGCTCGCCACCACTGTTGGGGATCGCACTGTGCCCGGCAACACTCCTTTAGCCTCACGACATCTGACAGTGGGACCCGCGAAATGAACACCACCGTGCTGTATTAGGTGCTCGCCACCACTGTTGGGGGTCGCACTGTGCCCGGCAGCACCCCTTTAGCCCCACGACATCGCGTGGCCCGAGGGCTGCCAGCCGGGACCATGGAGCAGCAAACGAGCGGCACTGGTGCGAATGTGCCAACGTGACGGTGGCCAATTGTCACCACCAGCTGACACAGCTAGAGCAGTGCACGAAGGCGGCGAATGCCGCGGCCAGGAGAGTTGTAGAAACTCAGGTGTAGAGAGAGAGAGAGAGAGAAAGAGATGGGAGGAGGGGTCGAGATGGCAAGCAGGGCGTGAGCGTGCCAGAGCAGCGCGTGCGCGCAGTGCTGCCGACGAGCCAGCGAACGAGAAAAGAGAGAGAGAGAGAGAGAGAGAACCAAATCAACGCAAACTTTCAGAGCTCCGCGCGGATTTCTCGGATCGGACCCTCTCCCTGGCGCGCGGAACGCGCCGAAGGCGGTGCCCGAGGCGCGGCCAGGCGGGCTGGGCACTGATCCAAAAACTCCCCAGCGGAGCTCCGGAAACGCACGTCCGCGTCCTGCTTTGAGAGGACAAGCGCCCCAGACCCCCAGCGCGAGGTTTTGTCCAGAACGCGGACCCCCCAAAAGTCTGGACCCCTCCCTGGGGACGGGTTGGCGAGCGTTTTTTTCCCAACCATCCTGTGGTGTTGGGTCCTCGTTTTGAAGAGACGGTGGCCCGCGTCTCCTCTCCTCCTCTCCTCCTCCCCCTCCTCCTTGCGTTCCACCAATCCAGCACAGCGTTTCGTACCCCCATAGGGAGCTCCACCGAAGGCCCCAGTGGCCGCATGGCGGTTTCGGGCCATTTCGGCACACCCCTCACGAGGATCGTGGCCCCATAGGGAGCTCCACCGAAGGCTCCAGTGGCAGGGTTCGCATGGCGGCCTCGCCATTTCGGCACACCCCTCACGACGATCGTAGGCCCCATAGGGAGCTCCACCGAAAGCGCCAGTGGCAGGGTTCGCATGGCGGCCTCGGGCCATTTCGGCACACCCCTCACGAGGATCGTGGCCCCATAGGGAGCTCCACCGAAGGCGCCAGTGGCAGGGTTCGCATGGCGGCCTCGGGCCATTGCGGCACACCCCCCACGACGATCGTGGACCCAGCAAGGGAGAGTTCCACCGAAGGCGCCAGTGGCAGGGTTCGCATGGCGGCCTCGGGCCATTTCGGCACACCCCTCACGAGGATCGTGGCCCCATAGGGAGCCCCACCGAAGGCCCTAGTGGCAGGGTTCGCATGGCGGCCTCGGGCCATTTCGGCACACCCCTCACGAGGATCGTGGCCCCATAGGGAGCTCCACCGAAGGCGCCAGTGGCAGGGTTCGCATGGCGGCCTCGGGCCATTTCGGCACACCCCTCACGAGGATCGTGGCCCCATAGGGAGCTCCACCGAAGGCGCCAGTGGCAGGGTTCGCATGGCGGCCTCGGGCCATTTCGGCACACCCCTCACGACGATCGTGGACCCATAGGGAGCTCCACCGAAGGCGCCAGTGGCAGGGTTCGCATGGCGGCCTCGGGCCATTTCGGCACACCCCTCACGAGGATCGTGGCCCCATAGGGAGCTCCACCGAAGGCGCCAGTGGCAGGGTTCGCATGGCGGCCTCGGGCCATTTCGGCACACCCCTCACGAGGATCGTGGCCCCATAGGGAGCTCCACCGAAGGCGCCAGTGGCAGGGTTCGCATGGCGGCCTCGGGCCATTTCGGCACACCCCTCACGACGATCGTGGACCCATAAAGGGAGCTCCACCGAAGGCGCCAGTGGCAGGGTTCGCATGGCGGCCTCGGGCCATTTCGGCACACCCCTCACGAGGATCGTGGCCCCACTGGAGCTCCACCGAAAGCGCCAGTGGCAGGGTTCGCATGGCGGCCCCGGGCCATTGCGGCACATCCCTCACGAGGATCGTGGCCCCATAGCTGTGCTGCTTCAACAACCGCGCATGGGCGTCGTACTCCGCCTTGTCGACGTGCAACGCCACCTCCTCCCTCATGGCTCTCAAGGCCCTCTCCTGGTTCTGCTCCTCGGTGAGAGGGGCGCCGTCCTTGTCGTCGTCGGCGCCCGCGAAGATGGCCACGAACGTGTCCCTGAGCATGTCGGGCTCCGGCGGGAAGCCGTGGCCACATAGGGAGCGCAGGCGAAGATGGTATTCACAATTGCGGCATTCACAACTGCATATGGTTGGGTCCTTCGCCAGGATAATTTTTTTATCCGGTGTTTCGACATTGGGCGGAAAAGGGGGGGCAGGGGAGGGGGGGTCTGGCTCCGACCCTCTGCTTAGTGCGACTGTTTGCGACAGTGCCTCCTATGAGGGGAGACTCCCCTGCGTGAAACAGGCGCCTAAAACAGCCAAGATCTACTCCACGGGTGGGGGGGAGGGGGGGGGGGCGAGGGCCCTCGCCGATCGGCCAAAGAACGGATATAAAACGCCCACCTTCTCATCCCGAACACTTGCTTGACGGCCCCAAGGCCAGGCAAGGGCCCCCCGGAAGCCCCAAACAATGGCGGCAGAACTTCCGTCGTGAGTCGTGTCGCGACGCCAAGGGTCGGCGGTGGACAAACCTCCCCTTGGTAGACCTCCCCTCAGTGAAAAAACGGCCTGGGGCCGAAACCGACGGACCTGGACCCGCAAGAATGACGGCCGCGACGCCCTCTCGCGAACCGGGGACGGCCAATGCCTCAATCGACGTGGCAGGGTAGGAGGTCTGTCCAACCCCGAACCGAGGGGCCCGTGGCCGCAGAGGAGCCTCGGAGCGGGCAGGGGCGCGCGGCCGGCACTCAGCACGGGCCGTCGAGGGGCTGCGGCGCGCAGGCTCGACGGGCGCACCTCGGCGCCGGACGGCGGAGGACTGCGAGGGGGCAGCCGGAGCAAGGACGAGGGCAGGACGAGGACAGGCTCGGACGAGGATGCGTCGGGAACATCCCCCGACACGCTCCTCTACAGCTCCTCCTCCTCCTCCTCCTCCTCGTCCTTCGCCTTCTCCTTCTCATAGTCCTTCTCCTTCTACCTTCTACTTCTCCTTCTCCGCCTCCTCCTCCTCCGCCTCCTCCTCCTCCTCCTCCGCCTCCTCCTCCTCCCCCTCTCCCTACTCCTCCGCCTCCTCCTCCTCCTCCTCCTCCGCGTCCTCCTCCTCGTCCCCCTCTCCCTCCTCCTCCTCCTCCTCTCTCCTCCTCCTCCTCCTCCTCCTCCTCCTCCTCCTCCTCCTCCTCCTCCGCTCCTCCGCGTCCTCCTCCTCCTCCTCCTCCTCCGCCTCCTCCGCCTCCTCCTCCTCCTCCGCCTCCTCCTCCTCCTCCTCCTCCTCCTCCTCCTCCTCCTCCTCCCCAGACACGCTCCCCGGGGCCCCACAACCGTGCCGCGACGGCCCGCGCAGCGGCCTCGGAGATCCCCGTCCCTGGGAACCCCGGTCGCCCCGACCGCACGAGACGTCCTCGGCGTCGGCGTCGGAGTCGTCGGCGTCGTCGGCGGCGTCGTCGGCGTCGTCGGCATCGTCGGCGTCGTCGGCGGCGTCGTCGGCGTCGGCGTCGGCGTCGTCGTCGACATCGTCGTCGTCGGAAAACCGTGCGGTGATCCCGAACTCCCACTGACTTACCACGGGGGCGCCCGAATGCTCGCGCCGTGGGAAAAAACGACGGTTCGGGGACGCACTGGCCTGGGTCAATCCAGACCCGGGTCAGTCGGGCGTTGCAGGATCCTGCAGCATCCTGCACCCAAGCCTGGCTCAGTGCAGCCCTGGAGCTGCAGGATGCAGGATGCTGCAAGATCTGGCGCTCTGGCTGACCCCCGTTTGCATTGACCCCCGTCTCTCGAGCCCCGAACGGAACGTTTTCAGCCTTGCTCGGCCTCGCATAGGGGGCCACATGCGAACCCTACCCCTACCCCCCACGATTTCTGAGGGGGAGGGTGGGGTTCACTTCGCTCGGGAGCTCCCGAGCGAAGTGAACCCCACCCTCCCCCTCAGAAATCGTGGGGGGTAGGGGTAGGGTTCGCATGTGGCCCCCTATCGCAGGAGCCCTCGCAGGGGCCCAAGGGCCATAAACACGAAAAAGCAGCTCGGGGCGAAAAGCCGCCCCCGAGGAACGGGGCCGGACCTCCGGGGGGCCGCGCGCTGGAGCAAAGACAGAGCACTGCACGTCTGAGCCCTCTCGCAGGCAAGTCCCTGCGCGAGATGCCTCTCCACTGCGGAGGGCGCCCCCTCGAGTGGTGAGCGCCCCACGGGCCCCAGGGAGGGGCTGGGTCGGGACCTCCTGGGGCCGCGCGCCGGAGAAACCCGTCGGCCCTCGCTGGCACGAGGGCGAGGCCCTTGCCCCTCCTAGGGGGCCACATGCGAACCCCACCCCTACCCCAGACGATTTCTGAGGGGGAGGGAGGGCCACAAGTGAATCCCACCCTCCCCCTCAGAAATCGTGGGGGGCAGGGGTAGGGTTCGCATGTGGCCCCCCACCTCCCCCAGGGTTCAAGATCCAGTTCATAGAGGCCTCCCGGATGGGGTCGGAGTAGATGGGGTCGGAAGGTCGCGCCGCATCGCCGGTATATACATCGGCGATGCATTGGCGATGCATCCGCGATGTGCCGGCGATGCATCGTCGATGCGGCGTGATCCTCCGACCCCATCGACTCCGACCCCCTCCACGAGGGCTAGAGTTCACACGGGGGGGGGAAGGGGGGGGAGGGTATCCGGGCTCCTCGGCGCACCCCTGGAGACTCCGGAGCTTCCCAATCTGCTTTCTGTGGCCTCGATGAAGCTCCGAGGCGGTCCCGAATCGCAGAACGCTTGGCGCATACGATGGCTCCAAGACGCCAAGAGACGCCTTCGAAACGCCCCCAGAGCCTCCCCGAGAGGGCCCCGAGAGGCAATAATCAGTGATTGGTTTTTCATTGCTTCTGGG